GGGGGGGGCGGAGAAGGGGGGGGGGGCGGGGGGGGGGGGGGGGGGGGAGGGGAGGGTGCAGAGCTAATTTGTGGCATGCCTGCCAGAAATGTTGCCTCCCCCACCCCCCACCCCTCCCCAAATGCAGTGGCTAAGGTTGTGCAGAAGTTGCTGAGCAGGTGCTGCCCCAGGTTGCCAGTGGGGGAAGTGACCCACCTCTAAAGTGTTGCCTCTTGGAACTGACAGCCTGACGGGTCTTGTGAAGCGCGCTGACAGTGATTTTTCTGTGAAGATCTAAGTGGGATTAATTTTTCTTTTGAAACACAGGCAGCAGCAGTGCTCTCCAGTTTCCATTTATTTCCTAGCACAGGGGTTGTCAACGAGGGGTATAAGTACCCCTGGCGGTAGTTGAGAAAGCCTTAGCGGGTACGCATGGGCCGGTGGGGACAGAGCGCCACCACACACCACCCCATGCTGCCATGCAGGTGCCACACACCCAGCCAGACACGGGACAGGGGCAGCTTGCACACAGCAGCTGCTGTCACTCCGCATCCAGCACCCGCCCCCCTACACACAGACACACTCGGCAGCTGAGGGTACATTGCTCTGCATCTGGCTGCCTGGGAGTACACTGATCAAAAAAGGTTGAAAACCCCTGCCCTAGTGAAATGATACAAAGAATGCGGGAGGTCAGGTTTCAGATCCTTCAAGCACCCTCAGGAATTCAAACTGACATCTTCCATCTCGCTCAAAAATGGCCTAATTATACCCTAGGGAATTATGTGCCTGTGAAATTTTGCACATAAAAGACATGACTGCGCAAATTGCATAGTTTTACATAATTTAACTGCAGCGGTGCCTCTGCCTCCATGATATGGAGGCACAGTGCCGTGCAACTGGACAGCTGGGTAACCAAGGAGGGGAGTTTCTGCCTGCAGGGCAAGAGGCATGGGGTCTGTGGGTGCGCGTGGGCCGGGGGGTGTGGGGTTTGTAGGCAGGTACAGGCCGTGTGCCATCAGACTGGGTCAGGCAGCTCCATGCCTCCCCGTGGGACTTCCGGCACTCCAGCAGGAAGCCACGTATAGAGACACAGAGCTCGTTTGGTCCGATGGCATGCAACTCCATGCCTCCATGTGCAGCTTCCCACTGGAGTGCTGGAAGCCCCACATGGGGGGACTGACCCGGTCCAATGGTAAATGGACCAGGAGCTGCGCGCCATCAGGCTGGGTGGGAAGCCACACATGGAGAGAGAGTCGTGCACCATTGGGCAGGGCAAGCTACTGCTTGCTTCCCCATGCAGCTTCCCACTAGAGTGCTGGAAGCCCCACATGGAAGCACAGAGACTGCTGGGCCGGGTGGCACACGGCTCCCAGTCCGCACACCATAGGGGTGGATCAGCTGGCTCTGTGCCTTGATGAGGGGCACTCCAGCAGGAAGCCACACATGAAGGCACAGAGCCTGCCTGGCCCAATGGCGCATGGCTGTTGCCTGCAGTGCCACGAGCCCCACGTGCTGCCATGGATCCAGGCTGGTCTGGTTCAAAGACGCATGCTAGTGGGCCAGGTCAACTTGCATGTGTAGGCCTTGGGACTCAGCCAAAGGTGTGCGCCAGTGGGGGCTATGCCTGCCACAACCATGAGCACCCTGAAGGCCTGCTGCTGCTGCTGAGCTGGTGATGGTGGGGGCTGTGCACCATTTGGGGGGATGTGTGGCAGGGGGGCCCACACCCACCACCAAACCCCACACACACCCACACCCCTTCACAAACTCCACACCCACGCACAAACCCCACATCCCCCCACATCAGTCCACAAACACCCCCCACACCTTCACAAATTCCCCCCACACCCACCTCCCAACCATACAAAGTACCTGCATACATTTCTAAAGAAGATTTGAATCGTGTTACGTTTCTTTCTTTTTTTTTTACAAATTAAATATAATTAATTTTGCATAATTTTGAGTTTTCCAGCACATCATTTTGAATTTTTCTGTGCATAATTCCTTGGGGTATACCTAATCACCAGGGTATAGGCAAGAGGGGGCCAACCTGTGACAGAGGTGCTGCATCTGATACAAGTGGCTTCTGTTTGTGGCACCTGGCAGATCAGGGAGGGAGCAGAAAAACAAAGCAGGAAATGGAGCAGGGGGAAGAAAGCAGATCAGTAGACTAGTTGAGGAACAGAAAGCAGAGCAGCAAATTGGGCAGGGGAAGGGGGTTGGAGTGGTACTCAGGGAAGGTATGAAACTAATTTACTGCATGCCTGCCAAAAAGACTGGCCTCAACTGGTTTAGGCTTTTCAGATGTAGGGTTCTGAACCTCTCTCTTTTCTGCTTTGCGAAGTGTGGTTGGAGTTAGCAAGCCCTGAGGCTATCCCCTACAGTCAATGTTGAATTGCCTGTAATTAAGATATCATGGACCAGTAGATTCTATGACAATACTGTTTTGAGCCTTGGCATGATAAAGAAGGATTATTTCCAATCCTTAACTTGTGATGCCTACAAGTTAAGCACCGCACCACGTAGCTTTTATGTGGCTGGCCCTGGATTGGAATCCAAAGCCTTCTATTAAGTGTGTAGGCTCCTGACACATTGCATAAGGAGAGCTGCACATCTCAATGACATTCCAAGACATGGAGAGGCAGTTAGCCATGTTGGTCTGAAGTCCATCCAAAAGACAATCCAAAACATCCTTATGCTGAGCAGAGAGCCGCCTAGAGGAAGTCAGTAGGAAACACTGAACACAGGATTGTGCTTGAACCCCCACTCTTCTCTGCAGCTTAGAGGCCTGCTGATGCCTACAACTTGAAATCCCGAGCCCAGAATCCTTTGCTGAAAATTAATTCTCTGAACTAGTCTTTTAAAAAAAAAAAAAAGGACCATTCCTTTTTTTTTTTTTTTTTTCTCAAATGTGACAGGAACAGGAGAGGATGGCTTTGCTAATCTTATATATGCATAATGGTTACAGCACCAGGAGGTAGGAAACTTGGTCCCTAGGCTGAGAGGATTCCAGTGCCCAGGGAAGTGCCCTATCTGCTAGACTACAGGCTAGACTGGATAGTGGTGCTTTCTACTCCTGTTGAAGCTGAACCACTTGGCAGCAAACAATTCATGGGGCTACAGATACTGGTGAAAGTCTTTCCGAACATCTATATTTAGGTAGTGGAGCTCCTAGTTTCTGCATCCTGGTCCTGGGAAAGTGAGAGACAGGTACTTGGCTGCTAAGACTGGGACAGTTCTGGGCAAGTTCAGAGGTGCCACTCTATACACATAAGTAGAGAGGTGATTAGTTGTGTTAGTCCAAAGTCAGGCAGAAGGTATGGCAGGACAGCACGTTAGAGAAACTGAGTCAGAAGCATGAGGTTCTGTAAGCAGCAGCTCATTTAATCAGATACTATGAATAGATGTGCAGGAAGAAAGGGGTTAAAATGTAGTTCCTCTTTGTTTTTAATCATTTCTTTCTGCAAGTCATAGCATTCAACTAAGTAGGCTGTTGCCTAATTGAAATCTTGCGAGGGATTATATATTCAAAATGTACTAATACTGTAGTAAAGTAGCCCTTCCCTACCCAGAGTGCATGCAAGAGGTAGGGCAGATTTTCAGAATTGCTTAAGGCTCACAGCTCTGTCTAAAATCGATAGCAACTGGATGGTCAGCACAGCACATCTCAAAAAAATCAGGCTTTTTGTGTATTCAATTGATCAAATGCCTGCTCCAGTGAGTCAGCTAAAATAAATGGAGTTGTTATAGTATAAGAGAGAAATTAAGTTGACTTAGACTAAAATAAATGTTTACTCCTAGCTGTGGGAAGTCAGGGCCACAGGCAAGCTAAGTAGCCCCTGGCTGGACTGGCCTGGGCTGCCAGTGGTCCCAGTTATCTCTAGCAGCCCACGTTACCTGGAGGGGTATGACTCCCTGGATATACGCAGCTGACTTCTCAGCAGTCCTCAGACTACAGCCTCTCTAGCTGGCTCTTGTCGAATCCATGTCTAGCCAGTTCCTGGTCCCTGACAGCTGACTTCTTGCTCCTTACTCCAGATTAATTCTTTGTCTTCTCACACACGCTGCCTAACATCCCCTGACACTAACAGAGCTGAGAGAGTGAACCTAGTTCTACTCTAAGTAATAGAGTGGTGTGTGGTGGTTTAGTTAGAGTGGTTAGCTACTCTAAGTAAGGTATGATCAACAGAACTGGTACAGTTGCATAACCCTAATTAGTTTCCACTCATGCATGAGCCAGAAAAGAATGTACTTTGATTCTGAACTCTATAGCTGAGCTAACCACACTGTCATAAAAACTCTACGCAAACATTTTTATTTATAAATCTAGTACATTTTATATGGAATAACTAAAAGATAATAAACAATGAACCTAATGATAGGGTGCATCTAGTTAGTTTTTAGGAGACAACTCAGTTACCCCTAATATATCTGGGAGTATAAACAAACATACATCTGCAGTGGCTTCAAAAAGGGAGGGGGAGCTGCTGCTCTGATGGCAGCCCCTGTCATACTGTAACTATTTCTGCATGAGAAGCAGGGTCAAAGTAATGACAATTTAACTCACATGTATCACTACTGTAGATTTTAGTAAGCCTTCAGCTACTTAACAGTGGAGTGTTAGGGCCCTGGCACATATTACATTTAAGATGTAATTAAGATATTAACTATGGCATAAATAGTAACTTGGCCACATGTTAAATTCAATATATGGTGCAATAATATAGTAGACGAGCCACAAAGATATTCTACATATAATGTGTAACATTTTTGTGGCTTATTTGTATCGGGCCTTAAATTGGAATATGTGGCACATCATGGCTGACCCATGACAGATCCTAAAGCTCAGCTGAGCATAGCGGCATGGTAAAGCTGGTTGTTCCTACACAGGGATTTTTAAAGAGCAGCACTGAGGTGGCTTCCCCACTGGGCACTTCAAACCCCGTACTCAGCACCTCTGGCTGAGCTGCCCAATAGGGGATCAGAGGCTTCTGGTAGAGTTTAAGGTACCCAGCAAGGGAAGCGCTTCAGCTGCTTCTCCCTCCTGAGAGCCTCTGATTCCCAATGGCTGACAGCCCAACCAGAGCTACCAGGCATCGGGTTTTGACGCTCAGCTGATCATTGGCCTGGCCTGAACAACCCCAGTCTGGAACCAGACCTGGAACTGTCCTGGCTGAACTGGTGGTCAGCTCTGGCCCCCAGGCTGCACTGCAAACTCGAACCAGGTCTAGCATAGGCTGAGGCTGGTCTGATAATCAGCTGATTGTCAGCCCAGCTCCAGGCCTCACCGCAGCTGGTTCCAGTCCCCCATAGGGCCCCAGGGGGCAGCTGACAATTAGCTGATTATCAGTCCAGCTGGATGTGCAGGCACTCCTTCCTCTTTCATCTTGCTTGTGCAGGGGGAGCCTGGGATCATAATCTGATCTAACTCTAAGTCAGGCATTTTGGAATGGCAGGAGGCATGATTGTTGGGTTTGAAGATCAGATTGCTTCACACCATTTAATGAATGTGCCAGGGGCCTTAGACTTGGATCGTATTTGCTTGCAGTTGTCTATTTAGATATAAGAGAGGAAGAAGTAAAAGAAGTAATCATTAAAAGAACCCCTTAGGAAAGAAGCCTCTAGACCAGGGGTCGGCAACCCCCGGCATGCGTGCCGAGCGTGGCATGTGAGGCCATTTTGCTCGGCATGCCACGGCTCTGGGTAGCTACTGCCAGCGACAGAGCCCGAGCTGCTCCCAGCAGGGCTTGCACCATTCCAGCTTCCTGCTGGAAGCAGCCCGGGCTCCCAGCTGGCAGCAGCTACCCAGAGCTGGGGCCAGCTGCAGACAGAAGGCTCCAAACAGCTGTGTCGGGCGCTGGGCTCCAGCATCAGCTCTGTACCAGTGCGTGCATCCACGCGTCGGAGCAGGTGGCAGGGGAGGAGCCTGAGGCAGCACAGCCCCAGTCTCTTCCCCCACTCCCGGCAAAGAGGTGATAGCAGGGCTCTGGAGCCCGGCGCAGCTGTTTGTAGCCAGCCTGGGCTCTGGGCAGCAGCAACAAGCTGCAAACAGCTGCACCAGGCTCCACAGCTCCAGCATCAGCTCCATGCTGGCAGCGACTGCGCATGCACATCGGGACAGGCTGCACTACCTTGCTGTCTTCTTCTATGCTCATTCTCTCTCTTATTATTTGTGATTAATTAGTATTTCATTATTTTTTTTAATCACTAGCTTTATATGCCCTATCTTTAAGGTTTATCAATTACCTATTTTTTTGTATTCTAATATTAGACTTACTATTACATTTTATTTGAGTCTGTTTCTTCACATGTGTGGTTTTATTAGAGCAAGATTCTTGAACCTTCCTTGGTTCCTGGAAGCTTTGATGCAGGCATAAGAGTTATATCAGAACAGCTGCTTACAGTCAAGAGCAGCAACTCCCCCTACCCTTTTGAAGCAGCAACAAATGGATATTTCTTCGTATCTTGGGATTTTTGCACACCCAAACATAGCCAAGTGCAGGCTCACAGCTCCTATGTGCTTTGGCTAGTGGAGCCCCAGTAAATAGGAATAATCTGACCCAAACTGCATTTTATTAATTAGAATGCACAAGAATTTTTGGATGAAAGTCTGTTAAATGTAGCTCCCCTTTTAAGCATACAAATTGTTCTGAGCCTTGGTAGAAGTAATTTGTATTCTGTCAGCACACTTCTATAACAGGACATCCAAGATATGTTTTTACACGGTATCTGATTTAGAACAAATCTTGGTGTAAATCTCTGCTGTAAGAAGTCTTGTGTATTTTGGATATTCCCTCAGAAAGAAAGCCAGTAAATTTAATTTTTGAAGTTAGCATCAGCAGCTCTTGGTTGCACTCATCAGCTGCAGGATGAATGTCAGCCTGCAAGACTGCTGTGGCTAGATTAAACAAAGGGAAAATGTGTTCATGGTTTCTCATGTGAACTGTATGGGAAAAAAAAATCAAATAGTTGTTCTTACTTGTTCTTACTTATACAGCCAATGGGTGGGTCTGTACAACAGGGTTTAAAACCCAACAGATTTTGGTCCTGTAGCAAAATAAGAACACAACGATCTCTAGTACTGGAAGATGTCACCGTAAGTGCAGTGATTCCATTGGGGAATACCTAAACAATTATACACTTTTTTTCCTCTTTTCATCATAGCATGGCATTGAGGAAACTGCTGCAGAATGCCAAAGGCTGGGAGCCACAGTTCATACCTTTGTGGTTGACTGCAGTAAGAGGGAGGAGATTTACAGGGCTGCAGAGAAGGTAAGACTACAACATGCATGTCTCAAGACTACCCAAGTGTGATAAAAGCTTCAGTGATAACTGGGAAATGGAAGTTGGGATTCTATGCTCACCTCTTTCATGTCTTTCATAAAATCTTACTCCTTCCTCCATCTTGTGGACAAGGCATTAAATAATAATAATACACTTAAATAGAAAACTATCTAGTGTAATTTCTTGCTCAAGGCTTCCTGGATAGACACCTTGTTTTCTTCTTTTTAAATTGTAAAATCTTTGAGTCAAAAATAATAATGAGACCAAAGCAGATGCTTTTTTTTTTTTTTTTTGTATTAGAATACTATGGTACCTACAAATGAATTAAACCAATTTTGAAGTTACCTTTTTTTTTTTTTTTTCCAGTAGTTTCAGTACTGGGATTAGATTTATACTGAAGTACCAGATGAGACCTCAGCTTCTCGAGGGGGAACTTGAATTGCATAATTCTCTCTCCAAAGCCTGATTCTGCAAAAATGAAATATAGTAGGCAGATGTTAAAACCACCTTAATTACTACCTAGTATAACTATCAACATCTCTTAGCCCTGAATGTAACTACACATTTTAAATCCTTTAATTTTCAAAAGGTGAAAAAGGAGATTGGTGACATTAGCATCTTGGTGAATAATGCTGGCGTAATTACACCTGCAGATCTGCTTTCCACACAGGACCATCAGATAGAACAAACATTTGCAGTCAACATTCTTGCTCATTTCTGGGTAAGTGCAGCTAGTATAGGGATGGGCAATTATTTTGTCTGGCAGACCGTTTAATGACTTTTGAGCTGTTGAGGGCTGCAACAGTAGCCCCATCTCTTGACAGGTGCCATGCTTCCCGATTGCTGTCTTGGGACCAGAAGTCGTACCCCTAACCTTTGCTACCGCAAGTCCCTCCCCTTGCCCCCAGAAGTAATCCTTTGGGAGGGGAGGGGTTGCCATCTTGGAACCAGAGAAAAAAAACAAATCATATACTAAAAATCAAACATCTACTATAACATATTTTAATGTCATTTAAAAAAAAGTGTTTGTCCTGATTTATGTGTATTTGCATAATGTATAAAAAGGTGATTGCATAATAACTCAAAATAAAGTTTTACTCTTGTCTAAGGGGTGTGCATCAGGATCTGGGGGAATGCCTGTTCACCAGAGCACCCCAAGGGATGACAAGGTCCAATGGTCACAAACTCCTCCGAGACTGTTCTAGGCTGGACATAAAGAAAAACTTATTTGCTGTCTGAGTCCCCAAGGCCTGGAATAGACTGCCTCCAGGGTGGTGCAAGCATCTACTCTGGACTCTTATCTTGCTGGGATCCTTTGACTCTAGCTGGGGCAGGGGGCTGGACCCAATGATCTTCCGAGGTCCCTTCCAGCCCTAATGTCTATGAAATATTGTGTGTGGGGTGTGGTTGAAGGGGTGGGTGTGGGGGGGGGGGTGTAGGATTTGCGTGAAGGGGGTGTAGGATTTGCATGTGGGAAGGTTGTGAAAGGGTGTGTGTGGGGTTTGTGGGGGCATTTGTGAAGGGAGGTGGGGGTTGGGGGCGGGTGTGGGGTCTGTGGGCAGGGGTTGGGTATGGGAGTATGTTTGGGGTTTGCAGGGAGGTGTGGGCTCCCTGCTAGATGCCCCTAGTCCTTGCCACTGGCAGCAGCAGCAGGCAGCGGGCCCCCGGGGCACTCGTGGCCTGCGGCTGGCAGAGGCTACCAGCATCCCTGGCTAAGTCCTGGGAGCTGCACGTGGCAACAGAGCCATCCCAGCCTGGCCCACTGGCTCACACCTTCAGGCCAGACAGGGTTGGCTTTATGCTAATATACGGGGCTCCTGGCACAGCAGGCTGGAATTTGATACCTCCATGTGGAAATCTGCATGGGTTGGTGGGGGCATACACTCCCAGCTGCAGTGCTGGGCACTGCACATGGCGGCACAGAGCCCATCTGATGGCACATGACTCTTCACGGCTCCTGGTCCTTATGCCATTGGGGCCGGGCAGGCTCTGTGCCTCCACATGCAGCTCCCTGCTGGAGTGCTGCTAGAAGCCCCATGTGGAGGCACAGAGCCTGCCTGGCCTGAGCTGAAGGTGCATACCAGCGGGCCGGGCCAGGCCAGCTCCATGCCACCACATGCAGCTCCCAGAACTCAGCCAAAAACGTATGCTGCTGGGGGGAACTCTGCCTGCCAAAGGCATGAGCACTCCAAAGGCCTTCCTGCTGCTGTTGCTGCCACAGGCAGCATGTTATGGGGGGGGTGGCCCACACCCATCCGCCCACACTCCCCACACCTACCCCCACACTTGTGCCATCAGGCTAGCCCTATGCCAGCAGGTGGGGCTTTCAGCACTGCAGCTGAGAGTGTGCATGCCACCGGGCCAGGTTGGTGCCATGCTTCCACATGGGGCTCCCAGCACTGCAGGCACGAGCTCCCTTCCCCACTCACTGTCTGGTCATGTGCCATTGTGCTCAGTTCCTCCACATGGGGCTCCCAGCTAGAGTGCCAGGAGCCCCACACAGGTAGGCACAGAGCCCGCCCAGTCCGATGACATGCTACCTCTGAAAGCTCGCACCTGCCAGCTTTCGGAGGGGCAGCCATAAGCTGGTAATTGTTTTTTTGGAGGAGCCCCACAGGTCAGATAGGATGGCCAGGTAGACCAGATTCAGCCTGCAGTCTGTGTTTTGCCTGCCCCTGTGCTAGTGTGTTAGCCTTAAATATTAACACTCAGACTACTTTAACCATAAATATTAATACTTTTTCTTTATACTGTTGATACATTATTTAAGATTGAGGTGTAAACACAGTAATGACATTTGAAAAGTAAACGTTATCAATAGAACCTTAATACATCCGTGTCACGGCAGGGTCCTCGCGGAGGGCTGTGTGCTCCTTAAGGTCCCTCGCTCCGTGTCAGGCCGGCCCAAGGCACCCTCTAATTCTCACCAGCCACGTCTTGATGGAATATATCTATATAGTTGGGAGGCTGCCTATGACTCCCTGGGCCAGGCTAACCGGGG